AAACTTCAAAAATCATAAAAAAGATTAAAAGCTTCAAAAAAAAAACTAATATGGTTAGAAAATTTCAAAAATTATATATCTGATACAAATTAATTTTGTTAGAAATATTTTTTAAAAACAATGTTGGTCCACAAATATAGTTTAAAGAAAAAATATATCTCAAAATAATTTATTATAAAATACACGAATGACATATATTACACTATAGAGAAAATTTGAGGATTTTTGTTTTTAAAAAATTATTTGGTTTTTGAAAATTAAATTCTGGAATATAATTTAATTTTTACCTTCAAATTCATATTATGTTTTGTAAATGTAAGACTTATTTAGAAATTTTAGAATTTTTATCAATTTAATTTGGCTTTTAAAATTGAAAACTGAAACTGTAATTTATTTGTTAATAAAATTTAATTCTTTTTTTTTTAAGAAAAAATCAATTTTTTAGGAATTGTTTGGGATTTATTTTGATTTTTAAAATTGTTTTGAATTTTTTTTAACAAAATTAAAGGGTAAAATCGAGTTTCTCCAAAATTAAAACCTAATGAGACATGTTCAAATGGTAGATTATGTATTGAGACAAAATGAAGTTAAAACGGTGGTAATTTAGCAAATTTCTCTATTTTATTTGAGTTTCTGCCCTCTCAACCACTCGAATCAATTCGATAAGACGCAACATAGATTTATGATGATTATTCAGTATTTGTATTTTAATTATCACAATTATCTTTTTAGCCACAATAATTTTATCTTCCTAGACAATCGTGTAAACAAATGAACGTTCGTCTGTAAAAAGATAGATGCGATAAATTAAGATAACATCAAAAATCAGATTTTGATTAAAAAAGTTATCAAAGTTCTGACTATGATTATTGATAAATTTTAAAAAAAGCCACTTTTCAAGTGCTATTTTATAAAAATACCACATTTTTAAAATCTTTACAAAAATGTCACTTTTTCAAAATTATTTTTTCTATATATTATTTATGTTTGGGTTAATTATGTTCTA